GTGCTGGGTGTGGCCAGACTTCACAAGGAAACAGGTGGATGCCTAGTTACATTTACATTTCAAGTAAAAATGAAAAATATTTCAGCATGTGAGTGCCCCCAATATCGCTGGGCTTATATTTATACTAACAATTGCTTTGTGGATCTGAAAATCAAGGTTGAGTGGGCATTATGTCCTGTGGGTCCAGGGCTGGGGTAAGGCTTTCCCTCCCACCTGAGACGCACATTTCCCAGCCTGATCCACATCCTGGGCTCTGGGTGTGTGTGGCTCCGGGGTGGGGGCTCACAGCCTTCCCAGCCTTTGTCTCCCTGAAAGGCAGGCAGGTCTGGAGCCACCTTGCAGTGCTGCGCACTTTCTCCTGGGGTGAGGCACAGCCTTATTGATTCATTCAGAAACCATCCCTTTCACAAGCACTTCCTGCAGCCCTTCATGCTTGTAGCGTTTTCTTTGCTGTCATTTTCTATACTTATTTAATCAATTATCTTTTGTATGAATGACTCTTTGGGGTGTTCTTTGTCTTTTTCTCCAATGCTTTTATGATCAAGGGCTCAAAGAGCTCAGGGTAATGTAGGTTAGTGGTTCCCCCATGCTGGGCCCTAGCATTGAAGGCTCCAGGCTGGCCTCTGACCCCTCCCCAGGGAGGCTCTTTCTTTCAGGTCTTCTTCTAAGAGTCATAACTCCTCACCTACTTCCTGGGCCCAGAATGCCCGAGTGGAGGGCTGGACTAGGCCAGGGCCAGGGTGAGGTTTCAGGAGGTCCCAGGATATTGGCTAGGGTAAGGTGGGGGACATTCATTCTCCTACAAGGCTGCAGTGCCCAGGCATGTGTGTCCACCTGGCAGACCCCCATGCAAGGTCACTGAGCTTAGGTGAGGCTGCTTCCCTGTCCCAGGTTCTCTCAGAGACCCTGACACAGGAGATCTAGGGGCTCTGATGGCCTCAGGGCCTCTCTAATACCCATGCATAGCCCTGTTCTCCATAGGCTGTAACCAAAAACAAGAAGTCCTTGGGTGACTTACACTGGGTGTCTTTGGTGGAACCTCAGGGATAGGAGGGTCCTCCAGGTCACACCTAAGTGCCCAGCACCCAGACTGGCCTCTTCAACAAGCCAGTTGATGACCACCACTATCCTTTAGCCTTGTGCCTGCGGGAGGGTTCTGCCTGATGGGAACTGTCTAGGGTAGGAGCTGGGTGTGCCTGCTCCAAGGGACAGCATTCAGAAGGACACTCAGGGTCTGCACTCTCTTCACTCCTGGGCCAGCTCTAGCCAGGGCTGAGCTGAGGGGCTCTTGTAGGAATTTTAGGGCTCCCTCGGTGGCCATAGGGGGGAAGATCTGGGAGGTGTCCTGATCTAGCTTCTTCCCAGAAGCACTACTGGCATGTGGCAGTGTCTCTGGGCATCTCCACTGTCCACCCTGTGAAGATGACAGCCCTTTCTGTGACACCCCGGGGCAGGAGGCTGTGCATTGTAACCTAAGGGCGCAGTCACTCCAAGCATGGGACCAGGCTTGGAGAGCTACACGCCTGCTGCAGAGAATTACAATCTCACCATGCCCCTCTCCTTTGAGATCATTTCAGGGAGTTCTGAGTGCGGTGAGGCATCTGGCAGGCAGTAGGGGAATGGAGGAGTGCAGGGAGCTGAGACAGCTCTCCATGTCACTGGGAAGCATGTGTTTCCCTGGGTGGGGGCGTTGGGAAGTGATGCAGCAGTTGGAAACTGTTTTAGTCTCTTTATGGGGCTGGATGGACTTTTGAGGATTGATGCTCATTCTCAGGAAGCAGGAAACGCATTCGAAAGGATACGTGGTACGTGGCCAGGATGATGATGGGGATTGAAGAGTTCTGGAAGAGCCTGCTTCACAGTGACTACCACCTTGGATTTTTCCAAGGGACTGAAATGCCATATGCTACAGTGGAATGTCCTGCAGAGGCTGTTAAGAGTGTGAGCTGGACTGCAGACCACAGACTCTGGGAATCAAAAAGTGGGGAAGAAGAGAGTGGTAAAAGATACCAGGGCTGCAGTGATGGTTTACAGAAGGTCAGGAAGATTGGACAAAGCATGGGTCAAAGGCCAAGATGGTGGACTTGAAGACTGGGGGTGGGGCTAGGGATGGCGATGGGTCAGGACAGAAGCCCTCTGAGGTACAGCTCCATGAGATGATTCTCTGCACGCACTGTTAAATTCCTCTGCTTATGGGTTGTCATTCTCTTCAGTTTCTCCCCACCTCTGGGGCAAGTCTCGTGCATTGCTACACATGGAGGGTGAAGTAGGGAAGGCAGTGTCAAAGCTGCTGGAGACTAACACTGCTATCAAGAGGTAGCCTCTTTCTCGGTGACCACATCTTACACAGTCCTGCCTGCAGGCTGTGGCTTGGTGAGTGATGAGCCCAGGAACAGTGGACAGCATGGACATTGCTTTTTACAGGTGTGTGGTCCCCTTTTAACTTCCAGCACCTCAGCAATATACTGTACATTTCACTGATTCAATAAATATTTCAATGACACTTTACAGCTACCTTCACTGAAGACATGATCATCCAGTAAGTACAGGACATGACACACAAAGTCACTAATCACTAGAGAGACACTACAACCCTAACAAGCACTACAGCAAGGTGCCATTTTGCACTCTGTAGAATGACTGACGTTAAGACACTGACAACATCAGTTGTTGGCAAGGATGTTGGATATCTGGGAATTCTATATACTGCTGGTGGGAATAACACTGAAAAAGTGGCCACTTTGAAAATATCACAGTTGTATCTTGTAAAGTTAAACATAGTTCTATCATACAATTCAGAAATAAGAATTCAGGAGAAATGCAAACCTCTGTTCATACAAAGACTTGCATGGAAATAGTCACAGCAGCATGATTCATAAATAATGGAAACATGAAAGGAACCTAAATGTCTACCAACTGGTAGATGATAAAGAACCTGTCTGTGAATTACACAGCCTCTTAAGGAACACAAACTCTTCCTTGTTAGGTTTATATCTAGATGGTCCCCCCAAGCCTCATGTGCTCATAGGTGATGCTTTTAGGAGGTGGTGTGATGCTCACGGGTGGATTGGTCCTCTGATGAGTTTAGAGCCAAATGTGATGTGGGAGGTCGTGTTTTGGAAGGGTTTACCTACTTCACTTCTCCCTTGCTCCTTCTGCTTTCAGTCTGCCTCGCCATGGTGATTCTCTTCTGCTGTGCTGCCCTGCCTGAAAGCCAGCTGACCACAGACTGAAAGCCAAAATAAACCTCTTTTACTTTCAGTTGCAGGTACCAGATTTTGTGTCTCAGCACTGAGAAAGTAAGACAATCCCAGAATACCATAAGGGGAAAGATAAAATACAAGAATATGTACCATATGTTTCCATTCATACTCTGCTCTAGAAAGGTGAGATTTTGACAGAATCCATCCAGAATAGTCTTTGCACGGATGAGACCTTGGGGAGAAGACAGATACCAACAGGCAAGAGGAAAAGGGTTAGGCTGCAGGAACTAGTCCGTATGGTGAATGGGTGACTGTGACATGATAATACATAGTTAATGAAATGCACCAACCTGTACCCTTAAAATGTGTGAATGTTATTATGCATAATAATAAAATATAAATACTAGTAAAAAAAATCCCTCCACATTGCTTGTTATCCCAGCTACTGAGAAGGCTGAGGCAGGGGGCGGCCAGTGTAAGGCCACCTTGGGCAACACAGCAAGGCTCTATCTCAAAAAACAAAAATGTAGCTCAAATCTATATATATATTATGGGCAAACAACTTCACAAATAAACATGTCATGAGAAAACTTCTGGAAAACCAGTGAAATAAATAAAATCTTGAAGGCAGGCAGAAACATTAGACAGAAAAACAAAGGTAGGAATTTCAGAAGATTTCCTTCAAAAACTATGGAAGATAGCGGACAATGGATTACACCCTCAAAGTACTGAATTCTATGTTTTTGTTTAATAAATATTGAGAGTAAATTTATTAGAGGTGGTATGGGACCTACAAAGAAGCTAAGAACACCAATTTGTGTCTCTGGATAAGACACTATATGATATTGGTCGTTTCTATACCTTTTCCACACTCAAGGATAATAAATGCCTTCCATGGATGGCGCAAAAAAGACGGCACATTCATTGCCTGCTGAACTGTGCAAAAAGTACTAATGGATGCTGGGTGTGGCGGCACATGCCTGTAGTCCTAGCATTCGGGAGGCTGAAGCAGGAAGATCACTGCAAGTTCAAGGCCAGCCTGGGCTATATAGGACTCTGACTCAAAAAAAAAAAAAAAAAAAGGTTTTCAGACAGAAATTGATACCACAGGTCGTTTAGCCCTACATCAAGAATGCTGAGGGCTGATACTGGTAAAAAGTGAATTCAAATTAATATATTATAAAGGCGTTCATTAGAAGAAATCAAAGCAGACCATGAAGCTCCCAAATTGCCGGAAGCAACAGTCTGTGTGTGAGGCCCAGAAGACAAGGGGGACAGAACACAAACAGCTGTAGCAGGGGCAGGGGCATGGACAGGGGCAGAGCTTTGTCCTTGAGACAGTGTTTTCGTTCTCACAGTTCTGGCTCGTTATATTCCTGCTTTACAGGAAGAGGAGTGAATCTCAGGGAGAAAGCTACCTGCCAAGCAGCCAGGCTGAGCACCAGACAGGAGAGGGCATTTCTATTCTGCGTCCCTGGGATAACTCAGCGTAGCCCCTGCGCCCCTAGCCAGGGCCTCACGAAATCCCTGACACTGTGTCAGGGGAACCAAAGAGGACAGCTGCTTGGTGTGTGCCGGGCCCCACCGTGCCGCGCGCGTCCGTTGCTATGGCCGCGCAACCCTGGCGACCAGGCGCCGCCACCGCGCAGGCGCCGTGCGGGCCGCGGTGCACCGTGGGATGGGCGCGGGGCGCGCCGCGGCGGCGGGCCGGGGACCTGGGGCCGGGAAGCCGGGGACGGGGCCAGGGCCGGGGCTGGGTGGGAGCGCGGTGGGGCGGCGGAGGGGCGCGGGCCGGCGGGCTGCGGTGCCGCCATGAACGCGGCCGTGGTGCGGCGGACGCAGGAGGCGCTGGGCAGGGTGATCCGCAGGCCACCGCTGACCGAGAAGCTGCTGAGCAAGCCGCCGTTCCGCTACCTGCACGACATCATCACCGAGGTGGGCGCCGGCCGGCCAGGGCGCGGGTGGAGCTCGGGGCAGGGCCCGCACCGGTGACTGCACCCCAGGGGACCGCGGGCCGGGTTCTGCGCTGCCTTGCGGCTTCCCCGGGAGCCCCGAGCCTCTCTGCCCCTTAGGCGGCGTTGTGTCTCCCGCTTCCCGGCGGGCGGCTCTACGGGGCCTTGCCTTGTGCTGGCTAAGCTGGTCCTACGACTGGTGCTGCCCCTGACCCCTGACACTCCTCCTGGTTGGTCTGCAGCCGTGGCCCCACACATCCTGGGAGAGCGGAATTGTTTTTTAGATGCCCTTGACTGGGTGCAGTGGTCACCACTGCTTGGGTGCTGAGTGAGGACGTATAGATGCACATATCCATTGCAGGGCACCAGGAAGGAGGGCTGTAAACTGCAGTGATGTTTGTTGATAGCCCCACAACTCGCCTGAACTTGGGAGTGGTTGTCTGTGTGGCGCTTCCTGTCCAGGAGGATGGGGTCTTCAGTCCCAGCGGCTAAAGCCTGTTTGCTAGGGTATCTGGGTGAGTCGTGCTGGGGAGGGTATAGAGATTGCTCAACCAACATCATTGTTAAGCGGAGTCTTTTCAGTGTTCTTGGCAACTCAGTACTGTCGCGGGTGGCAGCACCCATTTCCATGGTGCACTGGGGAACTCGTGCCCTTGGGGACTTAGGAGTCAGGTTGAACTTGTAGACTTCCCGGGTTCATAGTCGCACTCAATGTTGGTTCTCAAATTTTTTCACTGTATCAAAAAATTTTTTTTCAGTACTGTGGATTGAACACAGGGTCTTGTACATGTTAGGCAAGTGATTTACCCCTGAACTGCACTCCAAGTCCTTTGTAAAAAACAGTTTATTTTTTTAAAAAAATTTTCAGACAACGTATTTCTTTTCTTTTTTCCTTTTTTTTTTTTTTTTTTGTCTTTTTCCTTTTTATTGGTACCAGGGATCGAACTCATGACTGCCTGCTTGCAAGGCAGGCGCTTATGCCACTGAGCTAAATCCCCAGCCCCAGACAAGATATTTCTACATTGCCCAGGCCAGCCTTAAACTTGGAAATCTTCCTGCCTCAGCCTTCTGATTAGCTGAAATTAGGAGCCTGTGCCATCACACCTGAATTGTTTCTCATCTTTTTAAAGAGGTTAGGTGATTTCCTCTTCCATAGATTTTCCTGTAGTCATTTCAGCTCTCCTGCTGCAGCTTGCAATGTGTGCTTCTTTGGAGTTGTGCCTCTGCATTGTAGACCTGATTTGTGCTTAAAAATGCACATCCCAGAGCTGCACTGAATGTTGGCCTCCCCTCTGAGGGTGTCCTGGATAGGCTTCAGAGACAGGACTTTGCGGTGTGCTGTGTCACCATTGCCCTGGGAGGTGGGCAGATACCCCTGACTTGGAGCGAGCAAGGGAGAATTAGCTCAGATATGAGCCTGGCCCTTTACCACTGAGACTGCCAAAGCCTCTTCGGTGATCTTTTGTGAGCCCCATGAGATGAAGTGTCCACGGAAGAGGAAGGTCAGGGAGCATCCCTGTCCCATGGGTACTGTGGGGTGGGCTCAGCCCATGGGGCTGCCGGGTACCAGGTGTGGTTCATTGGAGGGTGCCTTGGAGGAGGAGGAGTTGACTGGTGGGCGGGTGTGCAGGTGTGCGGGGAGGAGTGTGCCCCCACCCAGGGGCAGGTCTGCTTTTCCTCCAGACTTCTCTGATCTGATGTTGAAATTAATTTCTGACCCAATAGAGTAATAAATAGCCTGCTTGTTAGCTCATTAATAAAGTTGTCAGCGATGGACACACTGGGAAGTATTTCAGAGGGTAGGTGGAGAGCCTCCTGTGAAGGGTCCTTGCCATCCCTTAATCCTGTACATTAGCTGTAGGTAAATGACTGCTGCTTTCATTAAGCTGAGCGTCCCTTCTGTGACTTTAACGTCTCTTGTTACTTACAGTTACTGCTCACAGTTTAAACTGCCAGCATCCGAAGAGAGCTCACAGGGACAGAGCGAGCAAATTCCAGCCATGTTAAGTGCAGGATCCTCTCCAGCAGCCACCTCTTCCTGCCTTCTGACACACACAAACATAAGCAAACACATGTGTGCACGCACGCACACCCAGGAGCACAGCTCTTAAGTAGTTTGATTGTAGCTTGATTCCAGAGGAAATGCTGTTGTTTTTACAACCGGTTTACAATAAATGCTTTTGAGCTGGCCCTGTACACATCCTTATAGGCATACCTACCTTGTGGGTCTGCCTGATATTTTCTGTGCTTTTTCATTTCGTAGGAAATACTGTTGCTACTAATTGTATCGATTGTTCCCAACGCATTTGGGAAAAGTCTGGTCTTCCAGAACCCAGACCTTGGTTGTGTGCGGGTAGGAAGCTCAGAGAGATTAGCCCCTGTGCAACCTGGCAATAGGGGTCATCTCAGGTGTAGGTGCCTGAGGGGAGGGCCAGGCAGGGAGTGAACAGAATGGGTGGGGCACAGAATACAGGCGTCCCTAAGAAATGAGGAGAAAGACCCTTCTGGGTCTTCTGGTTTGGGATGCCCAGGCAGAGTGGTTCTGTCCTTCCTGGAACCCTTTTCCTGCACTCTGACTCTTGCGATGTTGGGTGGTCAGGTCCTTCCCTGAGTTAGAACTGGTCTGGCCTCTTCTGTATCCTTAGGCTGGCTTTGTGGTCCATCGTGGTTGCAAAATGCCCCTACTCCATGTGACTCTCTGGCCTTAGGCTCCTGCCATCCCATACTTCAGGACCCTTGAACAGGGCTTCTGGTTAGGTACTACTTCCTGCATGTCTCCTTTGCTCCCCTGATGGCCTCTGATCCTGGGTTGCTGGGCCCGCACCCTTGAGCCCACCCCCCTGTGGCTTCCAGAGCACCCTCTTGGGCTTTGCGTCTTCTCCCACAGCCAGCCTCAGAGCCCTGCCCTTGCCCTCAGATGTTTGCTGGGCAGGGGAGTGGTCAGAGTCCTGGACACGGCCAGGGAAGTGGCTGTCTCCTGAAGTTCACCATGGTCTCTGTCTTCCCCCAGGTGATCAGGATGACTGGTTTCATGAAGGGACTCTACACAGATGCCGAGATGAAGTCAGATAACGTCAAGGTAGGTTGTGCGGCTTCTCTTGAGCAGGCCCTTAACGAGTGAGTGGGGTAGTGTAGAGGCCGAGTGGCCTTGTGTGCATCATTTATGCTTAGGGATGGTCAAGATGCGAGGCCAGTGAGCTCAGCAGTGGGCAGATGCCCTCTCTCATTCGTTTCCTCACTTTGGCCACTTCTTGTCCTGCTACTTGTATCTGTTGAAAACCAGAATTTATTATTAATACCTGAAGTTAATGCTACCCCGTCACCTGGACTGAGAGTGTTAGTGAACTGCTTTTGTCATGGTATAGAAGATCAATCTAAGTTTGGCACATGTCTATGTAACGAGGGAATATCCTGTGCCTATTGATCATGTGCCTATTGGTAATGCAAACTTTCTGAGGTAGTTTGACATTTAATTTCAATGGAAATCTTTCAGGATAAAGATGCAAAAATCAGCTTCCTGCAGAAGGCCATTGATGTGGTTGTGATGGTCTCGGGAGAGCCTTTGCTGGCCAAGCCAGCACGGATTGTGGCTGGGCACGAGCCTGAGAGAACCAATGAGCTGCTGCAGATGATTGGAAAGTGCTGTCTTAACAAGGTAACCCTGCAGCAGCCTGGGCGGCCTTTGGGATGCTGGAGAGAGGAGCTTTGCATTAGATAGGGTTTAAATTAGATCATATAATTTTTATTTCTCTCCTTTTTAAAAATTGTGCTAAATTCCACATAAGTACTGGGTATTGAGTCCCAGGTGCTCTACTATTGAGATACATTCCAAGTGCCTTTTATTTTGAAGTAGCTTAGTAACTAAGTCACTCAGGCTGGCCTTGAACTTGTGATCTTCCTGCCTCAGCCTCCCTAGTATTTGGAATTATAGGCATGAGCCACCATACCTGGAATGATTTACCATCTTAACCATTTTAAAGCGTGGAGCTTAGTGACATTAGATACATTTATGATGTTACGTAGCCGTCACTGCCAGATTCATCTTGCAAAACAGATTCTGTGTCTCTTAAATGATAGCATTACTTTCCCCTTTTTCCATCTCCCGGTGGCCCCCTTCTCCTTTCCATCACTGTGAGTTCAGGCTACTCTACATGGTGCATGCAACTGAAATGTGTGTCCCTTGCGACTGGCATAATGTCCTCCAAGCTTATCTGTGTTGTAGCATGGGTCAGAATCTCCTCCTTCATTTGGGGTAAATAAAATTTCATTTTGCAGACAGACCACATTTTGCTTGTCTATTCATCTGTTTTGACACTGGAGTCATGTACACATTTTAGCTGCTCTGAATGGGGTGTGGAAATGTCTCTTCAAGTGTTCAGTTATTTGGGGCTTAAGCTCAGAAGGGGAATTACCAGGTCATAAATCGGTCTTTTTCTTTTTCCGGACTCTTTAGCAGCTATCCTCATGGGTGTGATGTGCTTAGACTATTTTAGGGCCTTCCAGCTGGGGTGCTGTGGTCCTGTCGGAGGGGAAGGATTTGTAGAGTAGTAGGGTCAGCTTTCCTGCCCTTGAACCACACACAGGTCCATACTTGCCAGTGCCACTTGCCAGAACCGAACCAAGGTTCATTAGCTTGGACGCATGTGCTGCTAATGGCTGATCATCAGTAATGATTGTCAAGAGGCACTGTGTTTGTCTGTGAGGATAACATTTCCTTGTAGTATTTCAGTCTTTGAATTTCACTGGTGGAGGGTCTGTTCCGTGTGCTGTCTTCGGATACTGACGTTTAGATTTGTTTCATGTGCAAATCTCCTTTCTGCCTCGCATTTGATTTCCGGACGTTTGGATGCCCAGCTCTCTAGTGATGACGCCGTGAAAAGGGTTTTGGCCGGAGAGAAAGGGGACGCGAGAGGACAGGCTGTGCGGACCTCGAAGTCTCACGAGCTGGACAACAAGCACGCCAAGGAGGAGGGGTCCAAGTCGCGGAAGGAGAAAGAGGTGATTTGCGTGTTGTGTGAGGCCGCGGGTGAGTCTTTCTGTGATTCTGTGAATCATGCGTTTGTATTTTTAGGAGAAAAGGAACTCCGAAGTGAAAGAGCGAAGTACAAGCAGAGATGAAAAACAGAAAGAAGATGCAAAGGAAGAGAGCAAACCCAGAGAGAGAGAAAGGGACAAGGAGAAGATGAAGGAGAGCGACCGAGCCCGACACAGAGACCCCGGGAGGGACAAGCACCGGGAAGGGGAGCGAGAAAGAGCCAAAAACCGGGCCAAGCCCGAGCGGGAGCGGGACAGGGACAGAGGCAACAAGGACCGTGATCGAGAGGCTGAGCGCGAGAGGAGGAGTGAAGGCGGCAGAGAGAGGGACAGGGACAGGGGCGGAGAGCAGGACCGGGACAGGGCCAGGGACCGGGAGCACCACAGAGCAAGGGACAGAGATGGGCCGCTCCCCAAGGACCCTGAGAGGGAGAAGAGCCGGGAGCAGGATCGGCCGGGGAGGAAGGTGAGTTCCGATGGAGCTCGACTCAGTTGTGGCTTTCTGAGGTGATTTCTGTCTCCTTCGCAGTGTCATGAGGAAGCTGGTTTTCTTTGATGCTGGCTTAAAATCATGGCAGTTTGGGATTCCCAGTGGTAACCCAAAGAGACAACAGTTTCTTGCAGGTTTACTTCTCTTTTTTGAGACAGGATCTTGCCATGCAGTTCAGGCTGGCCTTGAGCTCACTTTGTAGCCCCGGATGGTCTCAAACTCACAATAATCTTCCTTCTTCAGCTTCCCAAGTGCTGGGATTACAGGCGTGAGCCACCATGCCCAGCTTGTATTTTTAAATTTTTATTTAGTTATTTTTAAATTTTAAAACTTTTTTTGTCATTTATTAATAGCAGTGTCTTGTTCAGTCAGTTTTTTTTTTTTAAGAAAGAGTCTCACTACATAGTACAGGCTAGCCTTGAGCTCACTGTCCTGCCTCAGCCTCCTGAGTGGTGGGATCACAGGTGTGTGCTGCCCTGCTCGTCTCAGACAGTTTTTAAGATGGACTCAGTGAGCTTTCAGCCAGTCTCCCTGTTGTATCCGTTAATGGAGAAGCCAGATTCGGCACTTGTCTGTTCACTGTTGGACCCCTATAGAGTTCTGGCACATAGTAGGTCTACAGCAAAAATTTAATTGAGGATGAGCACAAGGGATGATAAGAGCTTCCAGGCTGTGAAGCATTGCATGGAGCTGATAACTGATGGTAGCGTGCGAAGCCTCTGTAGAAATCTGGTCTCATTTGGAGCAGGAAGCCAGGAAGTATCACTGGTGTTTGTTCTTACAGAGTTTAGCTTAGAGTGTGACGACTGCCTGCCGGGCTTGTAGAAAAAGTAGCATATCCCAGGGTTTGAGCTCTTGTGCTTGAGTCGCCTGCATACTCCCTTGGCCCTAATGTGCTTGTGGGTTTCCGAGGCCCAGAGCCACTTCTCTCTGAGCACTGGAAGCGGCATTCTCAGGCTGTGCCTCTGCTATGGTCTCGTGTGCACGGGGCCTCGCTGAGGTCTTTCAGGCTTAAGAACTGCTCCCAGGAGGCCTCAGTGTGCTGTGATTCCTGCTTAGTGCAGTTTTCAGGTGAGCTTATAACTGGCCGGGATGTCCTTTTGTGGGACTCATCCTATACATCAGAACTCCAGATGGCCTTCTTGTGGGACCTCAGATCTGGTTACAGCCGCTGGCTGGGGGAGCAGAGGTCTGGACAATTCCAGGTGTGCCTGCCTGAGTGACCTGGGGCCCCTCTCTAGGGCCCCTCATCACAGCCTTCGATCGGGTCTTCCTGTAGAAGTCTAGACAGAGAGACTGTTGTCTGGGGATGGGTAGAGCCTGGTATGGACAGTGGTTTTGTTTGGGGGATCTGAGGCTGGGTCTGAGTGAGGTCAGCCTTGCTGTGTCCTCCTTGCTGTGTCCTCTTGTATTGTCTGTCTAGGGCTTTTGAGGTGCATGTCTGGGGCCAGGAAGGTGCAGCTAGGTCTCTGTCAGAATGAGGAAGCAACGTAAGCTGCTGTGAGGTGCCTTGCAGGACTGCAGCTCCGGGTCTCAGTGTGAACTTAGCTCTGGGGTCCTCATCTTGCCCTGCACACTTGCTCCATCCTTGGCCAAGTTGCTGCTTCCTCGCTGTGTCTCTCTTGCCTGGAAGAGAGCAGGGTGGGTGCTGCTTGCCTGGCTGCCTTGGCTTCTGTGAGAAGGGCGAGTGGAGGGGTGAAGGTGCAGGAGTGAGGGTGTGCCATGGGTCCCCAGGGAAGCAGCCGGGCTCGGGAAGCCGATGCCAGGCAACACCTAGCTGGGTGACTGCAGTGATGTAGTCTGACAGGTTTGTGCTGAGGACTCATCCTTGCCGTCTCCTTGATTATGCTCTGGCCCCTTCCACCCAGATGTGTCTTCTGAGAGCCAATTTAAGATATAAATAGGTGTTATGGCATTCTTGTGGTGGTTTCCTGACTAAAGTCTGTAGATTGCTTATTATGGAGGACCCCATTCTAAAGTTACCCCAACAAGAGAAGCCAGGCTGTCAGAAGGAAGAGCGCCCCCGTGGGCCCTGGATCTTGTGTTCACTCCTTCCTGTGTTTCCTGACTCCACATTTCTCGGGGATGTGTTTCCTAAAGATTCCTCTTGGCATCGGCATCGTAGGGATCGTAGGGATTGTAGTGATCATATTCCTCGTGGTTTCAGGGACAGGAGTGTTTGATATCCTGGAGGGAAATACCTCTCGCTGTTTGCTTGGAAGTCCAGGCAGGCCAAGGCTGCCGGTCAGGTCTGGAGTGGGCACTGGTCAGTGTTATGGACCAGGTCTAGGCATACATTTAGATGTTAACTTCTTTAGATGTTACAGGTTTAGGTAATTCTAAGTTTGAATTTTTTTTTTTTTTTTTATAGTTATCAAGCTCTGGGGAGATGCCCAAGAAGCTGTCTGATGGACTTGCCAAAGACTCCCAAGCGGAAACAGAGGTAAACTGCGACAGATGCGGTTTTGGGAGATGCTGCTCACAGTTGAGCTGCTGTAGCGAATGCTGTGTCCTCTGCTCGAGAACACAGAGGAGGAGGGGGGGCATGATGTGGGCTCACACAATGAGCAGTGCCCTTTATCATGTGATAAAAGCAGTGATTTCCATAGTTTCTCACCTGGTGAGACAGATGGGCTGGTTTTTTTGTCTGACTGGCGTGGTGTATAGGGCACAAAGGGACCCGAGATTACTTGGGGGTGTGGATGGAGGTGGCAGTTGGGTGAGCCTGGGAGAGGATGGAGTTCCCAGGCTAACAGGCCACGGGGGCTTGGTGGGACTCCACTGTACTCTACCTAATCTGTCTGGGTCACTCCAGTGCGTTTCTGGTGGCCAAGGTGTGGCTGTGGCCTGTCATGGCCGCCTGGCTGTCCTGGCAGTCAGACTCAGTCACCAAGCAGAGAGGCCTTGGGAGGGAGAGAGCACACTATCCTCATCCAGAGGGCCTCATGGGGAGCTGGGGCAGCCGAGTCTGCTGGGCCCCAAGAGGAGCTGGGGCAGCCAAATCTGCTGGGAGACTGCAGGGAGCATGCGGCTGCTCCTGGTGGGATCAACAGTGAGGCCAGCCATGTGCCATTTCCTCAGGCCTGGGCTCCGCTGAACACGGGCAGAGTTTCCCCCCAGGTGCTTACTGTTACTGACCAGCGGCTTGGTCAGTGATAGACTGTATAAGGCGTCTTCACTTGTGTGAGGACGCTTGTTTGGTGAGGCGGTCTGGCCCTCTCAGTGTGTGCAAGAGCACCCGGTGCTGATCGCAGGGAGAAAGCTGCTGCGGTACAGCGTGGTTCCCAAACTGTGGCATATCACAGAGCCTGACAAGTCTTTAACCATTCTGTTGTGGAATGCACCCATTAATTCTTTTTCACTTTCTTTGCTTTAAGGTTGAGGTTTCCAACAGAGCATCCAGGTCGTTGCCCTCAAAAACTTTGAAACAGCGATCCAAAAATTCCGTGGAAGGTACGCAAGCAGTGGTGTGCATAGCGGGAGACCAGCTCTCGGTTTCTTTGCCTGTTCACAAGAGCCGGGAATGAGCAGTCTGTGTAGAAATAAGAAAGCTCTGTCGCTCTTACACACGCATGGGAGCGTGTGTGTGCGTGTACAAAATCACATCACCAGGAGCAAAGTGGCCTCCCTTTGCTGGAGGTCTGTGTTGGGATTGTTAGAGTGTGATTACATTTTCATTTTACAGAAATGTTTGTCAGTCATCCAGGGTTATGGTAGATTAAATTTCCCCCTGGTGCCTGCCGGAGTCAGAGCATAGAGGCCAGTGATGGCTACAAGTTTATAAAATTGGTACACATTAGCATTGGGGTGCTGGGAAAAGCTGAGCTTGCAAGCCTGGCTGGGGTTTATGTGAGGATTCGACCTGGATATAACAGAGCTGCACACAAACCAGAGCCAGGCGAGGAGCGGGGGGAGGTGCTGCTGGAGGCTCCTCTGCAGTTGAGGCTGGAAGTTACTTTTTGTCACTACATGAATGAGCAGTGTGGCATGAAGGCAGTGGTTGGCAGTGAAGCCCATGCAGTGAGTTCCGCCTTTGCTTATGGTAAGCAAGGTGTGGGTGCAGCCTCTTGTCGAAGCCTGGTCCCCTTTCCATACTGCCAGTGGCGAGGCACCCAGTGGGGTCATCGCAGGCCCTAGGTGTGAGTATCGCGCAGTCTTCAGTCTTTGCCCCAGGCCGCTGGCACTCTGACCCCTCGCTTGCCCTACTCCAGGGTTTTGACAACATGCTGGTTTCATTGTCGAACAACAGGAAATGGAATTAATAGTGCAGTTATGCGTTTTTGGGTGTCAGGAGCTTTATCAATGTCTCCCCCCGCTGTCCTTTCATCATAAAGGCAACCAGGAGCCACACATCTATGTTAGTCATCAATGAGTCTTGAAAGAAAACAAAACCAAGAGAAGTAGGGAGTGGGGAGGCAGCAGGAGGGCTTTAGTGAGTCAGGGTGTCTGCACAAAGAGCTGACTGGGGAGATGAGGGCCTGCGGGGGTCTTGGACCCCGAGCAGAGGCCTGAGTTGGTGTAAGCTGGCCTCTGTGTGTGGCAGGAAGCCCAGCACTGAAGGAGAAGGGGCTGCACCAGCAGGTTGTGTGCTCTGTAGGAACTGTGAGCAGAGGGCCTGTGTTGGGGGAGGCAGGAGAGAGACAAGATTTGACCTGACTTTTACAGATTAGGACCGTGTCTTTGAAACCAAGGGCAGGGGTGGAGGCCAGAGGACAGTACAGAGTGGGTGGTGTCCGAATGAGACAGGGCCCAGCATCTGTGGAGAGAGCAGTTGGGGTTTCGGGGGTTCTCACGGTGGAGGTGACAGCTGTGCTGATGTCTTGGGTGCCGCTTGTTAGAAAGGGAAAGAGCCAGAAAGACCCACTTGAGGGTTCTGGGCACCTATGTGGTATCACCTGCTGAAATGGCAGGCTTAGAGGACAGCTCAGAACTCTGGGACACATCAAGCCTGAGAGGTCTGTGAAATACTTGGGTGGGGTGCGGATGGGCAGTGGGACAGACAGACCTGAGGTCAGGGAGACCCACAGAGGCCAGGGGTAAAATCAAACTGGATGTTCTTAGCTCTGCCCTCCAAGATGCTGCCCACCACGCTCATAGCACGCAGTGGGAGTTGTCCTGTCCCTTGCGTTGCATCCTAGCCTGAGAATGGGGTGTTGGCACCTGGCTGGGGTAATCCTCAGAGCAATAGTGGTCACTCCAGTCTCTGGCTTCATGGGAAACACCGGAACTCTTCAAATGATAAGCACAGCTCTGTTCACAGCTCTGCCTGAGATGCTCACTGGCGGCCTCTGCTCTTGCCTTGGTATGGAAGCCTCTGGAGGTGATTCAGTCCAAGCTGGATGGTGGCAGAGGCCTGCTGAGACCTATAGCAGTACATGGTGGCCAGATGGCTGGACGGATTTCTCCCTGCTCAGAATCATGTGTGCATGTTACCAATCAGCCTCGTTTTGTCAAAATTTAGTTTTTCCAGACCTTTTCTGGTCTTTGGGCTCCTGTGTGGAAAGCAGCAGCCAGGAGAGGCAGGGGGCACTGCAGATAGCCTGAGGGTGGCCTGCTACAGAGTGCAGCCAGGTGGCGCTGTCTGTCATCAGGACTCCATGTCTGAGCCCCTCCCCTCCTACCCTGGAGTGGGGTCTGGTGGCCTCTTGGAGCCGCATGTACCTTCCAGAGAGCAAATGAGATGCCAGGTGCACAGGCAGCCTCCAGCACACCCTGTTTATGACAGGGCACTTTAGTTCACCTGACAGCCGCAGGGTTGGGGAGGCAGAGCTGGCTCCAGGCGGGACATGGTTGTTAAACGAGAACTGTAGGCATCTTCTGGGCTTCTCATAGATGTAACCTCCAGGCATGAAAATAACAAGGGTGTGGTTTCAGCAAGTACAACCCTCTTTCTCTCTAGGGTTTCTATTGATGGGAAGAGACCCGATGTCACCTGGGGGTGAGGCCTGTGTCTGCGCTGCCCCGGGTGCTACTGGTGATCAGTCCTGTTGTGTGATGGACTTGTAGCTTCAGCGTCCACTCGTGTCCATGTTGTTCCTCAGTGTCTCTCACTGAGTGACCCACAGCCACAGGTCCTGTGCCAATTGCCTCTGGGTAACTAGGGGTAGAGCGTGGCTTGTGCTTTCAAAGTGGGGGCCTTGCAGAGCCTACAAGGACAAGGGATCTGCGCTGGGCCCCACCCTGGCCTGGCCCCAGTGCTGCTGTGCTCAGCGTTGCCTCGGGGCGCTTTAGTCCTGTACTTTCACCTGGCTCTCAGGCTTCATAGCCAGGTTCACTTCTCCAGTGGGAGCCATGTGCTCTCCTGTGGGCATTTGATGGTTTCAAGTTTTTCTGCGTCATTCAGCTGTATTTTTTTTTTTGGTGGCTTAGTTCTTTGTTTGCTTTTTGTTTTATTAAGTTTTTTACTGTGAAAAATACAGGAAAGAAGAGCAGTGCAGCTTACCCCCACGAAGCTCCCCATGCATGGAGTAGTTCCTGATTTCACCGCACTGGCCTCACCTAGCTGTTTGCTTTTGTGAGTGATTTAAAAGGATGTTAAAAGGACCTGACAGTTTATTTCTGCCTCAGCATACTGCTCAAAAAACACAACGTAATAGAAGCAGCCACAAAAATTCTTGTCTCACTGAACAAAATTATTTTCCAAGCGTATCTGAAACCCAGACTACGTTTTCATTGTTCCAGAAAGATTTTATGTTATAAAAATACAGGCAGTTTGGTCTCACTGAGCTGCAACTCATCACAGGGGAGGTTTGCCCAGTCCACTAGCAGACACTAAGATGACTGTGGTGGCATTGAGGGCTGTCCGGTGGATGGCTGAGGGTTGGCAGTGGTGATGGGGCTGGATTTGGTCTGTTGCTTGGAGCACATGGTGACTTCAAGGGCTCTGAGAGGCAGGGGACCACGACTCAGGCCGGGAGATACCGCTCCAGGGCGACATGGCTGAGCACCAGTGTGGGCCCGAGCTCGCTCAGGAAGGCTCTTGTCCTCACCCGAGTACCCGCCTGGTCACAGGGGCAGTCCAAGGAACACGCAGTGTGTAGGTGTTGCTTGTTCTGTGATTGTAATTTTTACAAATGGATTGTTCAGTCTTTTGAGGGGCTCAGCCCATAGACTGCGCCATCTGCCCTCCATGCATGGGGGTGGGTGCACTGTCATCTTCTTTCTAGTGCTGCAGATTCAACCCAGAGCATGCCGGGCCTCTCCCCAGCCCTCTTCACGCTGCTGTCTTGAGGCGAGGTCTCCCCAAGTTGTCCAGGTGGCTGAACTTGCCATCCCCTTGCCTCAGCCTCCTAAGTAGCTCTGGTTTCCAAGTGTGCACGCCATGGCTGGCTCTGACTGTGGTATTCTTGGTGAACACTCTGTTTTTATGTTCTGTTTCTGTGAACTCATTAAAGAGCTACTTAAAATTACCACTAGAATTTCAAAAAGGTAAAATTGTGTGAGTCACATGGGCCAGAAGGTGCAGCTCTATGCCCTGGGCTCTGGGTTGAATCACAGCACTGCCGGAAGAAAACGCAGCAGGAAAACCCCAGAACATCATCTGACTGCTGACAAAGCTTTGCGTGTGTCTGTTTACTGTGACACTGGGTTTTGTGGAAAGCAGAGAAAAGCTAACACTCCAAAATCACACGTAATAATTTAAAATCGTTAGGGGGCTTTGTTCTAAAATTGATCATCTGTAACTTCCCCACTTGTGTTTATTTTTAGTGCTCCATATTTCGTGTTTATTCTTTGGTGTTCTCTATAAAAAACCAGAAGTAATGATCTCTTTGCTGTTGTTTAAGTCAGCATCATTTTTAGAGTTGAAAAAATTTTCTCGCAAAACTATGTTGTCTATTTTTATGTAATTCTTGTACATAAATAAAGCAATGACGTGGTAGGTACTGACAGGTTGATTCTGATGTAAACTATTCTTTGAATAGTTTGAAGAACTGAGATTGGGTTTCAGGAGCAGGAGTGTTTTTCAGGTCAGTTTTCCCTCCATGGAGAAGGCTAGGTCCTCTGATGGTAGTTGGTTTTCTAGCTCTTGGTTCTGCCTTGATTCAGATCCTTGTCTTGAGTACCTCCCTTCCCTTTTTGCTTGGTAATAGGAAGATATTTTATTTTTCAAGCATTAGATAATCTTCTATTTTTGTAAACTTTGGAACATTAGTCAGGAAAGAGTAGACAGGCATTCAGGGGCTTTTCAGTATGTCTGGCACTGTGACAAAAATATTTTTCTTGAGCCGGGCAAGGTGGTGCACTCCTATAATCCCAGCACTTGGGAGGCTGAGGCAGGAGGATCCTTGCTAGTTCAAGATCAGCCTGGGCTACTGAGTGAGCCCAAGGCCAGCCTGAATTGCATGGCAGGACCGTGTCTCAAAAAGACCAAAAGAAATTTTTTTCTTTTCCTCCGGAAGTGAGTGCTTACTGGGAGCTTTGGCCTGGCTTTGGGGTGCGGATGGAGACTGTTGTGTCCATGTAGCTCCATGAGTGAATGGTAGGGGTGCGTGTTTCTGCCTATGCTCTGTGGACTCACACAGTGCTGGGCACAGCCTTGCCCCCATTCCCAGAGCCAGGTCGAGGGAGCACTTTCTAGGTGAGCCTTCAAAAGCTGCCTTTGTAGGTGCTCAGGGACGGTGTGGTGTGGGGGATGTAGGTGAGAGGTGTGCTTGTGTAGTCCAGGTCTTTGCATGTGGTCCTAAGGCCCATCTTAAAACTACTTTGTGTTGGGAACTGGGAAGCTGGTGCCAGCTCAGATGGTGTTTCAGATGCTAATGCAGCCAGTCTGTGTTGTTGGAATGCCAAACCAACCCCACAGTGAGGCAGGGAGGTGGGAGTGACCTGAGCATGCAGGTGGGAAGATGCCGAGTCCCCAGATTGGTGCCCATCAGGTACCTGTCCTCATCGAGGTCTCTGTTCCTGGTGAGGCGTGGCTTCTGCCTCTGTGTGACAGGCAGTGCCAGGGCCAGGGCTGGTAGCAGAGGGATCCCCTGTGTGCCCACTTGCTTCCTAGTGAGGTAGCATGGCAGCTGTCATGACAAGGGTGTCCTTGAGGGTGCTCCTTGGGCAACCTACCCCTCCAGGCAGGCTACACCCCCCAGCCTGAAGGTGATAGCTGTGTACTTTCTCTCTAAGCTGTTCCGGCAGCGTCTCTGGGTCTGATTCTACTTCAGCTTCTCTCTCAGCTTGTGGGAGCTCTGGTAGGTGCCTTTGTGGGTGGCTTAGGACCCAGGGCTCTGTCTGAGCCTGCAGGTGTCCGCACCTCACTCTGGGCAGGTGTGGCTCTGCCATGTGAGGGCTGATGTGGTCCATGCATCCCTACAGAGGATGTGTGTAGAGGTCCCAATATGTGTCTAGCCCAAGGCTGGGAGCAGTTAGGCTGGCTTCCTGCCCTGCTGGTGCCAGCACACAGCTAGGAGAAGGTGGCAGAGATGAAATGGAGACCCAGGCAGCAAGTCTGGATGGAGGAACGGTGTGGTGACCTGGGGTCTTGGATGGCTGGTGGGGACTGGCTGGACAGGAAGAAGCCCTGAGGGGATGCTTTAGGTGATGGCTGGGTGGCATAGTGCAGACATTGGGGGTGGATGGGGGAGTGGAGAGGACTTCGTGTGGCCAGTTAGGGCCATTAGCCTTCAGACTAAGAGCAGGGGTGTCTTTAGGAGTGATGTCATCATTTAAGATTTTCTAAGGCACTGTGTTAATTTGGGAGGCTGAATGGTCCAGAGGAGAGGAGTGAGCAGGGCTCCAGGGCTAGGGGAGAGCAGGCTTGTGGTATAGCGGGCCCTGGCTGGGAGGTGGAAGGGCACTGTGCCTCGGGGCCTAGGTCTGCTGTGCTGGAGAAGAAGATGCATAGAAGATGGATAGATATCCATGCTTGCTTGCTTTCTGGTCATGGCCTCATAATTGAATTAGCTTCTCAAGTGCCTCAGGGCCCCAGGCCGTGGCCCTGGAGTTTAGAACCTGTCTGGTGCTAAACAGAATCTTCTTCTGTCCACAGCACTCCTGTGCCCATCTGAGGCCTCTGAGGCCACCTGCCAGCTGCTGCTGGTTTCCATGGTGTTCTGCCCTAGAGCCTGTTCTCCAGCCCCTTCCTCACCTTGCTGCCGCCTTTGTGCTGTCCTCCAGGGGGTGCCCTCTGGAGGCTGCTCCATGAGCCCTGGCTTCCCCAGCCAGCCTCTGTGGGTGCTCTCAGCAGTGGTGCTCCCAGGAAGTCCTCTCACAAGGACACAGAACCAAGGTGGCCTAGGATTATGCTTCCTGTGTGCCTATGGGTCCTCTGGTTCCCCTCTGTGTCTGGAGGTGGTGCGTGCATGAGCGTGTCTTCTCGCCCCCTATGGCATCCCTGGCTGTTGTGGAGCCCATGTCACGCTGGTCTTCCTGCAAGAGCCACTCTGTATTTTGAGAGTAACACCAAGATTGTCACTCTTCCCCTCATGCTGCTGCTCACCTGCTGTGACTGTGTGGGCATGCTGTCCCCAGGGGTGGTACTTAAGGAGAAAGGATCCCGGTGGAAGGGCAGAGAGACTGTGCTGGGACTCTCAGGGGCATGTGGAGCTGTGGGGTTCCTCTTGAATCTTTCCAGGAACCTGGATGTTCACCGTGCAGGCTCAGCGGTGTCCAGCTGTCCACTGCCTCTAATGCGGTTTTCCTTGGCTTCCTGGCTGCACCAGCTTATCTCATTGTGTGCTTAATTTGCTCCTGTGATAGACTCTTCCTGTCCCCACTGCCAGTTTTTATGTGCTGTTTTGTGATTTACAGTGGAAAAGAATGGTGTGTGAGGGCAGGGGGATGCCAGAAAGAGGCTGAGGAAGCGCCCTTTGCTCCCTCGTCTGAAGTCACACACGTGCGTTTCCTCTGATTCCATTCAGATCCTGTAGTATCTCAAGACTGATGGAGTAACTATTTTTTTGTGATTTATTTTTAGGTGACTCTGCCAGCGATGCAGGTAAGTGTGGCCGTGGTATGCTGGTGTGGTCCTGTGTGTGTGTGCAGACGTGAACGTGTGCCCACCCCATGCTGTGCACTGCACCACCGGTGACTGTGAGTGAGGGAAGTATAAGAGTTATGTTTCAAGTTTTAATCCTGAAAATGCTGCATTTCAGGATTTTTCACAGTAAGCTATGTTTCCAGCATTTAAATTCTGATTGTTTTTGTGACTTTCTGAAGTATAAGTTTTTTTTTTTTTTTTTTAAATAGAATAAATTCATCCTGGTTTGGGCTTGTGGCTTGCTTTTTGAGTAAAGCTTTTCATCAAGCTGGAGAAAGCTGTGTTTAGACTGCTAAAACAATGTGGCCATCACCAGTATAGAACATTTTTAAAACACAAAAAATATGAGGAAGAAAAAGCACTGGTAATTCCACTGCTTGTAATGTAGAGGAACATCTTAGCAGGACCCCAAAAGTTTCTGTGTGATTGTTAGATGTGTTACTGGGTGACACTGTTAGTTACAGTAGAACAGTGGCACTGTTTTACACAGAAGCTCCGTGTGTGACAGCCCTGTAGCTTCCTGTATCTGGTTGTCGCTGCTGTCAGCGGTGCTGCTGAGCATCTCACAGGTGGACGCTCATGCCTGTCCATGTTCGTTTCTCAGTGTATTTCCTGTAAGATAAATTGCTGAGCTGATGGACCTGCCTTTTACATTTTATTTCCCAAGTGACTGAACTGGTTTGTATTTGAGCATACCCATGTCCCCAGATCGTCATCATATTTAGAGAGCAGACAAGTTTTACCTTCTGTCTGCTCAATGCAGGGCACAGGTGGATGATGGGTGATGATGGATGAGAGAACAGCTCATTCATGTTTGCAGTTACATGATTGCTGCCTTTTCAAGTATTTGCATTTGCATTGGATATTGGAATTAACATTTATGTTTAAATCACTGACTCTATTTGTGTTAATATGGAATTAAACAGTAAAATATTGCTCATTTTCTCTGAATTGCTGACTGCATTGTTGCCTGTTTAGAAGGAGAAGCTGGGCCTAGACCTGGGCCTCCTGCCCCGGAGAAGTCTGCAGTGTCAGAGATCCCTGAAGTCCCCACTGAGCTTCCTTCTGGTGCCAGGTCTGTGTGGTGGCTTGCTGCATGGGCAGAGTGGTGGCACCTAGCTGTGAGGCTTTACACTGTACCATTCACTATTGATTCAGTGCTTGTGAAAAGTTATGAGGAATTATTTGTAAAAAGAAAGCAGGAAATGGCTGGGAATGGTAGCACACGCCAGTAATCCCAGCACTGTGGGAGGCTGAGGCAGGAGTATCTGAGGTTTGAGGCAATCTGGATAACTTAATGATTTACCAAGGCTCTGTTTCAAAATAAGTAACAGATTTTAAAAGGACTGGGAGTTAGCTCAGTGTGAAGGCCCAGGATTCAATCTCCAGTACTGCCAAAAAGCAATAAAACAAAAACAAAAAACAAAGAAAAAAACCCTAAACCCTACCTAGATAATCTTCCACATCTGGGTTTGTAAGTGTGTGGGGGGCATTGTGCAGACCCTGGGGCATGCACCGCTGTGGCTGAGTGGCCTTGAGTTTTGCCCATGGACATGGTGTACTGGTCAGGGCTTCCCAGCTCACCCGTGAATGGGAGTCAGTGCTGGCCTGGATCCACTCTGACGCATGCTCTGTGTTCTTCTTTTGTTGTCCCACGTCTGGTTTTAGGAGACCACCCCGGCCAGGCAGTGCAAGGCCAGCGCCTCCCCGGATCCGCCGACAGGAGAGTGTGGAGGTGTTAACGGTAGACAGGTGAGAGGGTGGTAGGCAGCGGGTGGGGGATGGATGAGGGCCCATGAGCCTGGGACTGAGGCCTGGGCCTATGCTGAGATGGGTGGGGTGCCCTGTGTGCCGGGAAAACTTGCTGTTGGGGAGAAGAGGAGGCAGTGTGTGTTTCTGATGGCGCACTGGAAAGGTGTGTCCGTATATAGGCGATTCAGTCCTGAAACACAGTGGGAGATGTTAGGCTCTATTCTTCTGCTCCCTTAGAAGGCGGCTGCAGGGGTGAGGAGGGCAGGCCCTTAGTATGGCCCAGAGCCTTCCTTCTACCCACGTCCCCTCTGGTGGTGGTGGTGCAGTGGTGGTTAAACTCCTCGCCGATAATGGCTGGATGAGAACTGCGCCAATGTGGCGTTTCTAACATCTTATCTTTTCTTCTTGCCCAGGATAGGGAGTGGTAAAACCGTGGCCAGCGTGATCATAGATTCCCAGGTTTCTGACAACGAGGAAGACGAGCATTTTGTGGTAGAAGCTGCCCCTCCACTCACTGAAATGTCGGAGATTGAAGTGGTTAGTTTGCCAGATGGTAGAGCGTCTAGTAATTCTGTTTGAACACACTGTTAGAATTCCAGCTTGTGGGGCTGTGTAGGCAGTTTCCCCGACTACACAGTTAGCTTTCTGCCTTCTTGGATTATGTTGTGCCTTTTTGGTGATGTACAGAAATGATTGCATTGTGTGAGTTCAGCCCCTGAGTCTTCTTTCTCCCTCCTGCTCCTTCTCAGGTGCCAGCAGCAGATCTAGAGGATGACGAGAAGCACGGTGAGTCCTGCCACCACATATGTGTGTGTTGCATGCGTGTGTTTGTGCACACATGTGTGACTCCTGCATAGCACTTTGGAAGTGTCTGATACCTGCGGTCGGGCTGAGAGCAGCTGTGTGGGGGCCCTGGGCTGTGCTGGGCTCTCCCCAACAGAGTGTGGTCCACGAGGGGTGCTGCTGCCCACCTCGGGCCCGGGAGGTACCATGGGGCTCAGAGAAGCACCAGGGTGCTTAACCTGGGGAGCTGCAGGCTGGCTCCCTGAGGTCCTGCCTAGGCCCTACTGCTGTGTCCAGTACAGCTTGTGGAACTCCAGAGGGAGGGCCGTGGGGTGAAGAAGACAGGGATGACTGCACAATGCCGGGGTCAGGTGCAGCCCACACTCCTGATGGGGGAAAGGAGCTGCCAGGAGCCACAGTTTATACGTCAGCACATGACTGAGTTCATGGAGAGCCCAAGGGAGGGCAGGATCTGGGACAGGAGGAAAATAATCTGTTAGCAGTGGCTTCATGGGGAGAAGAGGAAACTGTGTTACCTCAAGTGAAGGTCATGTCACCAAACTCATGAGAAGCAATGGCTTCTCGATACCTGAGGCATAGCAGCTTGGCTCCTGGTGCTTTTTCCACGTGGAGAAGGCAGTCGAGTCCATTGCTGCGTGGCAGCAGTGACTGCGGCGTGTGTGTTCTGAGTCCCCTTGTCCTGCTCCACTCCTCCCAGCCTTCATCCTGGAAGATCTCGGGTGCAGCTCTCTGGGTGGGGCCCTTTGGAAATAGCATAACTGAGCTCCTGGTGTCCACAAAAGGACAGTTCCTGGGCGTCATCAGGTGACCATTGTTCCTGTTGTTCGTGTCTTTGAATCATGCACTGGGTGTGCGCCAGGTCACTGTGCTGCAGTCAGCTGACCTGGTCGCCTATCACACTCACCCCAGTGGCCTGTGTGCGTGATGGCCGATCCCCAGGTCTGAGTCTCTCAGTCTGCTGCCTCCCCAAGTTCTCCTTCTCTCAGCCCTGTGCAGGAGCCCTACTCAGGCTCAGGCTGTCTGGCAGGCCATAGGTGGGCCCTGTCTCCAGGGTCCTGCAGATGCTACTTCCAGTGAAGGGGACAGGAAGGCATGCTCCCTTCCTCTGGTGCAGGCTTTGGGTACCCAGCTGCATGGCGGAGGCTGAGCCTGGACACGGACAGAGCTGTGCCTGGCTGTGAGGAAGTATACCCTGAACCCCTGCTTGGATTTGCAGCCAGATTCAGGGTTCAGGGGCTCTGTCCTCACCCTCTGGTCTTAAGTGTGGCCCCTCACCCTCGTGCCACAGTCCTGGCCCCAGCAGGGTCAGGTGTTGGAGTGCTTTGTCCCATGAGGCACTTGTGGTGAGACTAGTGGACTTCCTAGCGGGGACATGCAGGCAGTCACTGGGCTTGAAAGTTATGATAGAATTCTCCACTAGCCTGTGCCTCCCAGTGTGACAGTCTTAAGATTAATTTCCTTTTGGGTGTTTTCATTAATGTTTATAATTTTTTTTATTCATGTGAAACATTCATGTGGCTTTAAAGTCAGCACCAGAGAACAAGATGGGGAGTTTGGGGCTTTGACCTCTGTCTCTTCCACCTCATGTTCCGGTGCCCGCTGTAGGCAGCAGTAAAAATAATGGTGAGGATGTGTAAATATGTGTGTGTGTGCATTTATCACTACCCACCCTTGGCTCTGTCTTGCTTTTTGCTCTTTACTTGAAAGTCTGTGCTGACCTCTATTCCACTGCAATATTAAGTGGTAATTTTCATCCCTCTTCTTGGCTTCCTGGTCCTTCTCATGTGGCATCTCATCCTGATTGGTGCTTGGAAATCACATGCACACCCCAAGGCCTCCTGTGCGTTAAGCCCTCACTCTATCACTGAGCTACACAATCATTTTAAGAAAATGATTTACATATGATATTTGCCCTGCCAGTAATTGTAAAAGCAATTCAGTGTTTTGTCCCAATTTAAAAGCAGTATTAGCACTTAGAAACAGTTCAGAATTATATCTGTTTGCAATAGCTAGTGGTATTTTTGGGGTGCAGTCTACATTTCTCCTTAGTTTTTGGAAATAGGAAGTTTCTGTTTCCAATGCTTTCCATCTTTCAGACTGTTGATTTCCCTGGAATTTTGAAATTTTATTTATTTATTTTTATTTTTTGGTACGAGGGATTGAACTCAAGCTTGTCAGGTGGGCAGTTATGCCATTGAGCTAGATCCCCGGCCCCTTATTTTGAAGTTTTATAGTTAGTTTCTGCCATCACCTGTCGCACCCTTCTGTCACACACTGTTTTTATCAAACAGAGGTTATGGAACTGTTTCAGTCTGGAAGAGAGAGGATAAGGTCAGTGTTCTCACATCCTCCTACCTAGTTGGTCCGCATCTGGGGCTTAAAGGATAAGCTTTAACATAAAACCACTTATTTTCAACAGGTGGACTTGTGAAAAAGATTTTGGAGACAAAGAAGGATTATGAGAAGTTGCAGCTGGCCCCCAGAGCTGGAGAGAAGGTATGGAATGGTGTCCAAGCACGCTGGCCCTTCCTTCCGCAGTCATCTCCCACATTCACTCTTCAGAATGAGGAGTGACTCCGGTTGCATCACTGCCAGTGGTGCTCACCCTCACTGCTCCAGCGGGGAGGTTGGGCCCCTGCATCCAGTAGGTGATGACGGCACCTGCCTGGAGCTGAGTTCGGGGAGCTACAGGCCTGTTCCCTGCAGCTCCATCTGCCTGGAGCTGAGTGTAGGAGCCTGGGGCCTGTTCCCTGCCATTCCTCTTGACCAGAGCTGAGCAAGGGGAGCCTATTCCCTGTGGCTGCCGGCCCTGCCTCTGTGCACCAGCCCCTGTGTGCACAGTGGGGCAGTGACTGCAGAACCGCAGTTAGGAGTCTAGAGTCCGGTGTATAGGTTTGTGCTCCAGTTGTTCCTGCTCGTCCGTCTTCTTTGCAGCTCGTGATCAAGGCTGTTGGGTGGGACCTGTGGCTGTGCAGGGTGCACCCTCTGGCCCAGCGGTGTCCCTCAGCTGCTGCAGCCTGGTTTCTGTCGCAGTAGTTGTAAACAAGAAACATAAAATCTTGTAATTATTGTTAACGGAAGTTTCTTAGCTTTTTAAAGCATCAGTTAGAAAGAATTTTATACATGGGGGTGTGAGCAAATGTGCTTTTCCCCACCTGGACTGAAGATGATTTACTTTAATATAAACTGCCACAGTGTCCTGGTGCATCTGCAGAGGTGGCTCGAGGTCACCCCTGCAGGGAGCCTGTACCTGTTGGGGGCCAGCGGTGTCTGAGGACAGCTATACCCGGGTACTTCAGGAGCAGGAGGAGAAGCTCTTGGTGGTCTGTCACTGTGGCATTTTAGCTTGGCATAGTCCTTCCATGTCAATGAGCCATGGTCCTGGTGGGCCTGGGGACAGTCCAAGGCCTGGCTAACGTTGTGGGTTTCATGCTCCAACTGATGCTGTGGGCACCCTCAAAGTGCCCACTGGACTGGGTATCATAGCTCGTGTTTTGTTTGTGTATAGCACCCTCCTCTAGGTGGGAGGCTGAGGTTAGCATGCCCTGGGGCCGGGTTTGTGAGTTTCCTCTGCAGGATGTTCTCTGCTGGGGGATAGGAGATGTTTTCACTTGGTGAACATTTATTGCTTCCACAAAGTTCAGTTAATGTGTGCTCCATGACTCTGGGGTTTTCTTTAGAATTCTGATAAACATTAGAATTAAGTTTAACGTGTTGGTCTTAAGCTCTTTCAGTTAGATTTTCTTTTAAATAAAAGAACCCAAAATATAGAGAAGCGGTCAGGCACTCCTCACCCTGCCCCATCCCATCCTCCTAGTGTCTACGGGGACCTGGGCATGTGCCTGCCTCGTGCATGTGTCTTGTACACAGCGCATGGCCCTTGTGTGATCTGTGGCTGGGAGCTGTGCTCTCTGCAGGCTGCATGTGGTCAAGGTTCACTTATTTATTGTGTGTGGCTTCCCGGGGCCCAGAATTTGTGGAACCAGCACCCCGTGGCCGGAAGCTCTGCTGGATATGGGTTGGGGGGCAGAACCAGGTCACCAGATGTCCCTGCCCCAGCATGTGTTGAGTGTATGTGCATGTAGTGTGTGTCTGAGGAAGCATCTCATCCATAGTTTACACTCACATCATGAAGGTGTTTCATGTGCACCTGTATCCTTTGGGAAATACTCTTTCTATGGTGCAGTTTCCTTCTGCCACACTACGGCGGGGATGAGGTTTGAAGAGGACAGACCTCTGGTTAAGAGGCACTCTCATTTTGGTAGATCCTCTCTTCTGTTTTCAGTTTGTTAATTTCTGCTCGATTCCTTTTAATGTCTTTGGGTGTTTGCTTTTTCTAGCCCCTTATTTAGTTTTAGCTCTTGTCTTTTTAAGTGCAAATGTATTTAAGACTGTACATCTCCTTTGTAGCATGTTTCATCCTTGAATCTTAATTTCCTTGAATATTAAATTGACGAGATTTCCTTTGTGGTTTAGTTTCTGATCAGTTTTTTATTAGTTTGGTTTTGTTATTGTTTTCTGGATCCCTTGGGCTCCTCCTGCTTCAGCCTCCCCCTGGGGATCCCAGGCGTGGTGGCACCCCTGTCCCTGGGTCTTTTGTTTGTGTTTGTTTTTGGTAAACATCTCAAAGCCCTTTGCAAGGCTGGCCCAAGTAGGCTGTATTTTCAGTCCAGGATTCAGGGCCCGCTTGTTGATTTCATCAGGTCTTCTGTGTGAATAGACCAACACGCACGTATTAATGCTGATATTACGGCTTCTCTTCTGTCCTGTTCATAATTTCACATAGTAGGTGATTTCTCTGCTGGACACATTAACTGCCTTGCACTTTGTCTTGGAACTATTTTGAGGGAGTGGCTTTTCAGGGCTAAGGACATACATATTTGTAACCTGGGCACCCTGCCCCGGACTGTGTAGTTACCATGGGAGCAGAGCTGCTTCACACTGCAGGGCGGAAGGACTGGGACCCTGCACCGTAGACCAAATGTGTGCATCAGATGCTGTAAACATTTTCCCTATGATCCCGACTCTCAGGCTCTTTTCAACAGGAAACATAAACTTTGTTAAAGCTAAAAGATTAGCTTCTGCCAGCATTTTTCCCTCTTAATTCAGGTTTAAGACGGTTTTGAAAAATAAGCAAAAAAGCAGTTTTATTACAATGTTTATTATGCTGTTAAAATTCTTGCTTTCTAAAGCTTCGTAGATGGAGATGTGTTAGTCGGGGCCAACAGTTTCCAGGCCTTTCCGGTCCCTCCCTCGTCCTGATTTTCTAGTCTCAGTTTACTTTATCAACTCTTGTTTTCTGTTTGTTTTGTATCCATTCTAATTCAATGCAAATACCAGGTGTTTTTGCTCTTTCTTTTCATGTAAATTCTCTATTCTGAAGCAGGCTACTGGAGTCCAGTACTTGTTTCTGGAGATTTTCTGGAGATTTCTCTCTCTCTCTCCCTCTCCCTCTCCGTCTCCGTCTCGTCTCCGTCTCCGTCTGTCTCGTCTCCATCTGTCTCCGTCTCCGTCTCCATCTCTGTCTCTGTCTCTCTCCACTCCTGTAAAGTTTCTGTGATCGTCTTTCTTCTTCACCGAGTGGTTTGTGGATTGTGCGCTGTGTAGGTTGGACCACACCTGAGACCCCTGCAGCCAATTTCCTATTTCGTGTTTGGTAGTAAGAATTCAGCTCACTGCTGAGAGCAGCTCCATTTTACTTTGAGGATCTGATAGAGCTGCAAATTCTCACTTTGGCCACTAGGTGGTGAAATTTCATCACAAATGATTTCACTCTCAGAAAACTGCAGTTCAGAATCTCCAAGAGTTTACCTGACAAAAGTGTTTCACTTGGTCAGTTGGATTTGTGTTTTGCTAGGAATGTTATTTCCACTGAAATTTCTCTGAAAGAAATAAAAAGGGACTGATAGTATATCTTTGATGGGAAAGTAGCATTAGCTAACTGGAGAACCACTGAAATTGATTTTAATCAGGAAGAGTTAAGGGGGAGGTTTGTTAGGGTTTTTTGTTTTGTTTTGTTTTTTAAGGAGATAAAGTGATAGTTTCATATTCCAGTCACACTTGGTTTTTTTTTTTTTTTTTTTGTCTTTTAAGGAGATAAAGTGATAGTTTAATATTCCAAGTCACTTCCGAGCAGTATCTGGGGATTCAAAGTTTTGGATCGAAAGTTACTACCACATGATCTTGAGATGCCAAGAATGTCACTGAAAAGTGTTGTAGACATAGAGCGTGTTGTAGGCCACACAGATGGTCGGAAAGCCCCCAAAAGCGTGTTTTAAGCTTTGTGAAGACAGTTACGAGGAGATAACTCTTTCTTTAGAGTTCATGAGGGGCAAGAGATCAGGTTACTTCACTTGAGAAAAACATACATGCCTGTATACAGAAAGTCTGAAAATAAGTAGCTGTAACTCACTCGTACTTTCAGATTGAAGTGAGTCATCATCTCCTGCTGTGAATGGTCATTCGATGAATACAACTGCTGACTTCACCCAAGGTCAGCTTGGAATCGGACCCAGAAGTTTGTCCGTGTAGACGAGGAACCCACAGCGGCCTTGTCCAGGGCTGTAGCGAGTTTGTGTGGCAGGGTGTGTCCTGCAGGAGTGAGGGTTCTGTCCCAGTGGCTTGAAGAGACTTTAGAAGGTTCAATGAGGGGCCGGGGGTATTGCTCAGCAGCATAAGCGCCTGTCTGGCAAGCGCAAGGTCCTGAGTTTGATCCTTGGTGCCAAAAAACCCACAAATGGCCCAGTGAAGATTGTGAAACTGTTACAGAAGCTGCCCCGAAAGGGTCCTATGCCATGGCTCATTCTGCCTCTGTGGGTTATGACCCTGACCTTGACTGTGACCTTGTCGTGTGTGTGGGCTGCTGCCTCTTGGAGTCCCCTCCCGGGTTCCCCAGCTCCTGGGTCAGGCTGCTGAGATCTCTGAGTCCGTGACCCTCTGGGCTTCAGGCCAGGGCAGCCCGATTGGGGCCCGGGCCCCTTGCCCATGCTCTACTTGGCCTCTGGAAGGTTGGTGGCTTCGGGTCAGGATGGGTGGGACCCGAAGCCCTGCTTGTTGGGCTTCTCAGTAAACACAGGAAGTCCCTCCACGCTGTGCTCCTTTTCCGAGCAGATTGTTTTGTCCTTTTTAAAGTGAGGCAGGAACGTGTTCACTTTCTCCTTCAGCTCTGTCTTGCAGTTGCCACTGCCAACTGCGTCTGCTCCCCGAAGCTGGGGTGGGGGAGCTGGGGTGGGAGGCTGGGCCAGGCTGGGGTACAGATGCCCCAGGACTGTTACAGGGAAGAAAGTGGAACTTTCTAGGGTTCAGGTGCTGTGATTTCCTATTTGCGGCCATGGTGCATAGATAACTTTTCATACTGAAATAGCATCAAGGTTTTCTGATTAAAAGTCTCCAAATGGTTCTTTCTGGCCCGTACACCCACCCACATTGTGTCGCGCCCCCCCCCCCCCTTAGAATAATAAAACCTCCTGATGACACTTACGTTATACCCAGAGGCT